TAAAGCCTATATATTCTAATTAATTACCAGGCCATTTTCTATCAAGCATCTAATTGATGCTTATCACAAAAAGAGTTCCAACTCGCAAATATTGTCAACTATGAAAATTATCTCTCAAATCGAAGATATTCTTTCTTAATTCACACTCTGTAAATTGGAGGAATGATAAATCAGTAAAGGACATCCTGCTCTAATTAGGTCGATTATAAATGAAAGTGGTTTTCCACTTTAAGCAAACATGTGAACCCCTCTACATTATTCAACCTAATATTGCCTAGACCTCTTTTAATTGTAAATCTTTGTCTTAGGAGACTTATGTACATACAACGAAAATTAAATCACACGAAAGCACATACCTAATGCCGCAGACCCCTCTTACATCAATAACTAACTATGGTTATTATGTATCTTTAATTAGCTAGGAACAACAAGTTAAAATAAATAAGTAACCCGACTGTTTTTATGTGAAAGAATGGTTTCTAAAGAAGTATGTATCAAGTATTCAAATACCAATGACTATATTCTCAGAACTAAGGACGCATAAAAATTCTATAAAATGCAGTCAGAAGGGTAGGGGTTATATTCCCCAAGTTGGTCATTAAACCATGCACGTATATTTTATATAATAAAGCAACCTAAGTTGAATTGGGCATCATAAAGGATTTTTTTACAAAATAGCCTTATCATTAGCCCAAAATACAGCGGCTATTTATTGGAAATACTTCCTGCTTAATTAAAGCCCTCATCGTTAATTAACCCTATAAAATATCCACTTGCCTGCATTACTACATACTTCTTACTTGCCCTCCAGATATTATTATTCAGGAGTCATTTGATAGTCAAAACGAATTTGATCTGATGTAAATTTTACGTTTTTAGAAGAATGTTGCTACCTATCATATATCAAGATTATATCTTATTACGTGATGCTATCTAATATATTCAACCTGAAAAAGGATTTTTCCATTCTTTCATCATATCTTAAAAGATGTAATACCCTCAAATTGCACACTCGTACTCTTTTATCTATCCAAAAGAGTTGTTTCATAGTTGTGTTCAGAAGATTCAGTTAAGCAGAGCCTATATGCAACGGCTAAGCTCAGTCTAAAAATAGGGTTTTTCATTTTCTTATTGGATATGCTCAAGCCTACTGTTTGTTGAAAATTCACTCGATAGAATTAACAATGCGTCCGTATCCTCGTTTAGTATGTAGATTATTTATGAGTAAACCTTGTGAAAATGCCGAACTCATCTTGTAGCTCTTCCAGAACAACGCAACTATATGCATTTGAAAGCTGTTTTTCAAAATACCGAGACATGAAGTATAGCTGGTAGAAGACGTACGGATGAGTTAAGAGCCCAAGTTTATCTAAAGAACAGTATAATTAGCAGGAGAGATTGAGAAAAGTATGAAAACCAAGGGGAAATTGCAATTTAGTTCAATCATATTCTAAAATGTTGCCAATATATACGAGCTGTAAGACAATCTTAGACTATTGAACTTACATCAAGCTAAGCTTAAGGCATATGCTTCGAGATCAGAAAACCAGCAGATCTTATGCTTATTGACCATTTATGGAGTGGCATTGGTGATACGTCGTTCGTATCTCTAATTTATCATATAGCTCAGCCAGCATAGGAAGATGCTTTGATGCACAGATGATATAATTACACATTTAATATTGACATTCATTACAATAATTCCTCATTTCTGAAATACAACTACTGGAATTAATATACTTTTCCGTGAGTTAGTGGTAACGCGTTTTCGTTCTGGAGCTTGCTTCATGGGCTAGCACCTTTATTGAGTTGACGACATTCTTTGATTCACATTAGCGAAGTTTTAGGACGAAATTCAGGTATCATCTTCTCTTAAATATGATCTTTTGATTTTAATGCGTCCACAAAGTTGCTCTAGTCAAATGTAGAGATAGACTGATAAATAAGCATGAGGGCAGGAAATCACACAATGCAAACAAAGACCTTATAAGAAAGCAATTGAAATCTACTCTTTGGCAAGAAGAATGTAAAAAAGCTAAATATGACAGGATATGCAAACGATAGGCATCAGGAAGCAAAAATAGGTGGCCTAGTCATCACCGGATGGCGAGTTTGTCCATCTGACAAACAGCTTCCGTAATAACTCTTTATATCCAATGAATGGGATTTACATGGTCAAATTATACCTCTTGTATTGCGGTCGTTTGTTTGGACCGGTTACCATCTCCCAGTCCTGGCAAACAGGACTCAGTTGAGCTGCTGGTGCCGGAAGCCTCAGCCGAATTCTCAGCCGGCCGACCGTAGAGATAAATGGCACAGATGAGAAGGCCAAGCGAGTACACATCTGAATGCGGTCCTGGTCTGGCCATGGAATCAGAATCTGTTGGAAGCAGTAGGAGTTTATTGACGAAACGGAGAGAATGCCATAGTGATGATACGGGGAAGAAAGAAAATGGCTCAAGATGAACAAAAGGGCGACTTCTCAAAAGCCTTATTATTAAAATATAAATATAGCACAAATAGTCTAATTATTAGTGGATGATAAATACATATTTAGAGTTTAATTTGCCTCAAATGGTGCTTTAATAAATTGGCAATAATTTGCTGAATGAAGATTTTATGGAAGCCGGTCTTTATGTTTCATAGAAAAGGATAGGATGCCTACTAAACGTTGTTGACGAGCCAAATCGGACAAGATAGGAGCGTTCTAATTACATCTCAAGTCGAGACAAATCCTAACCTTTAAAGTCTAATTTGTGCGCAAGAAGAGTGACTTAACAGTGAACAGATAGAAACACACGCACAAACACTATAACATGAAGTCAGCTAGATTGCTATGGAAATGATTAACACAATTATTCTAAAGCTATCTACTTATCTATTTATAGTTAGGTTATATAGGCATGTTTGTATAGCAGGCAAGATAGAACGGACTAGTTTTATTGAACTGAAGACGGATGTTTCATGAATGAACAATAACTGGATTTGACTATTATTTTATGGGGAGATCGACCAAGCGCTTCAACATTTAATGAAGTCTCTAAAATACTGAGCATTAAAACTTCTTGTAATGGGACTTTCGAAAGTAAATGGAGCCCGGGTATAGCACCAAATAATTGGTTTTACATTCTCATTTTGTAAAGGAATGATACTATCGTGATGGGATAGCTACTTCATAACACCAAGTATTTGGCTTCCTTTTATAACAAGTGGATTTTTTTTGACATAAGCTGACTCCTCAGTAAAATTATTGAGACTAGGATGAAAGGAAATTCGTAATATGAAAATACGTGAACATAAAAAGGACAGAAATTACAACCACGAGTAACATGTGATTGTAACCACTCACTATTTATTCTCTCTTTCAGGCTCATTCACCCTCTTTTTTTTTCAGTCAAATATTCATAATCCATCCTTATTTTCTAAGAGTTTAATTTGACTCTTTAGGTAGAGTGATGATTAATTGATAACAAAATAGCAGACTATTTCTGAAAGGTTTGGGCGAGGTCAGAGATGTTCTGATTTAAAAAGAGATAAATTTATGAGTTATAATTAAGATGTATACAAGTTTAATATAAAAGCATAGTTTTCTGGGGTTTAGCTGAGCATAGGAGCCATCCTTTAAGTATATTTATTGCTATTTAGCCTTAGCAACAGATAACGGGCGTTCAAAAATATTCATTACTTATATCTAAGACAAATCTTCCCATTACACGCATTTAGGTCTTAAAATAGCATATGGTTGAATTAAGAACTACCGGACTAGATATATTGTTAAATGTTGTCTTGCGTCTAAAAGAAGTCTTTCTGTAGTAAATCAATCGGGATTATACATACGCATGTGCATACCTCCAAACTAACTCTATTTAGGAATCATATTCTCATGCAGGCGCTTTATAATCAGCTATTCCCTTCCAGTCTCTCTCCTGAATGATTCATTTGCATTTGGTTCCTAGGAAGACACAATTTCTTCCGAAAGACTCTGACTTGCAAGATTTTGGATTCTGTCCGTGTGAATCGGTGAGTAAGAGCTCAAATCAGACACTTTTCTGTTCCCCCTCAAGAGTCCTGAATTATGCCTAAGTGAGAAGTTTATATCTGCCCATAAACGAATAGAGACCCTCTTCACGACAATGGGCTTAGTCTTTAAAGTGTTTGTCCTACCATTTCTTGCAAAAAACTGTATCTACCATATTTACTTTGTCGTGTATTCGTATCTTAAGCAAAGCATCTGCTTTGACTGATGATGTCATATCAGCTAATTTCTAGAAGACCGTTTCTGGTTTCCGACCCACCTGACTGGCAGGAAGTGACGGAGGGGTTACAAGATGCTGCGACCGATTGCTCTAAATGTTTGTGATTTTGGCTCTGTTGTGGTGGGCTGCCACGTCGATGGGCATTCAAAGGAGTGTGCGTGTGCATACGGTGGCCAATGACGTTCGTCAGAATGGAGTTCGGCACTGAGGCAAACACGGCCGCCAGGCATTCAGGTGCAGCATAGGCCATTTTCGGTCGAGCCAGCTTCGGTAACTTTTTAGTCCAAGGGCTTGTTCCCAACTCCATCTGCTTAGTAGCGAGAAGAATAAATCGGAGGGGATTAGTGGGTATAATATAAGATGAAATCGTACAAGTGGTTGCGTCATAATATAGAGCCATTATTTGATTGTTGCAATAGGCCTGGATATATTATTATGTTTTGTTACATTAAAGTTCTACAGATAAGAAAACGCGTTTTAAGAATAGAGGAAAACTTGTTTTTACCGACGTCAGGAATTTGTAGGCGTAGCTTTAGAGTTCATAACGGAACCGGTTCATTTGTCTCGGTTTTTGCGGATAATTTATGCACACTTAAGGACTAGGATAAACAGCAACGGTACAACTTCCAGAAGGTTTTTATGTTTAATTTTCTCTAAATATGCTATCGCGCCTTCGAACAGAGGGATGTTCACTAGAAGACCGCTTCACTGAGCAAACTAGAAGCCAAAAGATTGAAGTTCTGACTATTCAAGTGATAATTTTCGGGAGCCAACAAGTATAGGAAAAAAATCTGCTTTAATTCACAGCTATTTAGGAAGAAAATGATAAAATAAGTGAGGATAAAGACCAAGTACTGGATGAGTAATAGGTGATCCCATCTAATTCTAAGCTTCTTATGTAGGTGAAACCTGTATAAAAAGTTCTAAATTAAAGTGCCGGACTCAAATATATGCGAAAATATTATCCAGTTCTGGTTATAAATCAGCATTTTTTAGTAGCTTAACCTTGTATCGTTATCTGCCTCACACCACTTGTATAAAAGCATTAAATTTTTCAGGCTATGTCAGAATTAATTCACCATATTACTAAGCCAAATTTGTCACATTATTTTTTATATTAAAAGCAGTCATCAATGCTTTAATAGAGGCAGATCATTGACATCATCTCAACTGGTACAAATGCATCATACGATTAAAAAGAAAATATTACTCCAGCTTGGGCAGAAATTTGGCATTTAGGGGCATAGCATGATAGACAGATCAGTGATTCATTATATTATGTAATATTACGAAATATGTTGGCCAGGTATAGATTTTCACAATGGAATCTTGTAAAGCCGGTGAAAAAGGATACATTTAAAAATGGAACTGTATAAGATAAATAAACATAGTATCGCATGTCATCTGTTGATGCTAATATTATATTACAGATATTTAACATATTTGGTTTCATAATGACAGCTCTTTGTCAAGTGTAAACGAGTGAATATTTATTTTTTAAAATTCATGACATGAATTCCATTAAAGGCAACAAACAAAATACAACATAATACAGCATACGAAAGTTGTATCTTTGCAAGGAACGTAAAAAGGTGTTGTGTGCATATAAGGGCGTTACTTTCGTTACAGTTTATATAAAAAGTCATTAATTATCATTTTTTATAACAATTGGCTAAATTCTTTTCTTATATATATATATATATATAAACTAGTTTTCAAAATATACCCTAATAAATTTATGTTGCTTTTCATTTCGTTTTAAGATACGGTTGGAGGGGATTCATAAGTTGGCCTCACCGGAAGTTGCATGGAGTTTCTTCGGAGTTGTGACTGTAGATTTGTGTGAATAGATTGCCGCCCTTAGGCTACGATGAATCCTTGATAAGCTTTCGTGGGTCATATGATGGATATTGTCTGAGCAGCACAGCATGCTTTACGATAATTCACCAATTCACTAAGACAAAAATGGTGGCTGGCTGCAATCCTGCATACTTTTCATATTCTGGCTATGTCCGCTTATTGAGACATCTCATGATTTGTCGGGGATGCTATGCTTTTCCTACATGCGGCTTAAAAGCGAAATGACGTCAAATGAAGCTGAAAATGATGCAAGTATGTCCGAATAGCTGCATCCTTCCCTGCAACACTTATCTTCTTTTGATCCTGCAATTTTGCAGCATTTGGTTGCTTGCCATTGAACATGTCTTGCGTAAATGCCTTAAGTGTGAAAAGCATATTTGAGGCCAACGAATCCTTTTCAACAGCGCCTATTAGTTTTCGCGTAATGTTCTACCACCGTCACATCTATTCAGGGTGTTGGCTGCTTTTTTTAATTATTTCGCTTTTCCAATCTTCCGCTTACTTGTTGGTATAGCACTTGGCATTATAACAGTTTATCTGGTTGTCTCTGTGGGCGGAGTTCGGCCGTTTCTGACTGATGGACTCAAAAACTTAGCAGGCTGTTTTATGTGCAGATAACCACTTATGCATGGGTCAACAGTTCTCCCTCACATAGACGCTACCACATGAGCACAAAACCTTATAGCAGCACGATTTGGAAAGTGGGTGTAAAATTTCCCGAAATAATGCCATTACTAAGGAAAGTGTTATTTTCTTCTTATAAATTGTCCCGAGATCCCATTTCCTCAGTAATTTACTTATCCTTTTCGAAAGCTGACAAAATGCAATATCAGGACTCCAGTCGAGTGGTATAGCTGCTTACCTTACCCTAAATAGATGTTACCCCCCCC